ATAGTTTTTGAGAAAATTATGGTTTTGAAATCTAGTAGCATATAGTGATCAGCAATATTTTCTTGTGACTGGATTGCTTTTTGTATCCCCCTAGCGCTACATACATGTGTTTGTTTCTTCAAAAGTTAAGTGATTGTAACATCATTTAAACATTTAATGACAGTGAGATTGTTCCAACATCACTGGTTATTTGTGATGAAGATTAGCATAGTCAGATCAGAATTGGGTTAATTGGAGCTTGTCACAAAGGAAGGGACAAAATATTCTGATCAATGCAGGCATCCCTCAGAGGCACTGCAGGGCCCGTTCCATAGCACCACACCTAAGGGAAATTGCAATAAATCAAGTGACATAAAAATTTTCATTCCCTAGTAGATAGAAAAATTATGTTTACAACATATTATATTCAAAGTGTATGATAATATTATGTTTAAAAACAATGCATGTGTCTTAATTAAAAAATAGAGGCACATGTAAACTTAACATGTGGAGGGCTGAGGCAGAAGGTTCATGAATTTGGGGCCAACCTGGGCTACATAGCGAATACAAGTCCAGCCTGAAGTACATCGCAAGACCCTATCTCAAGAATAAAAGCAAAACAATTAAAGATGCATATCTGTATTTATTCTCCCTAAAAGTAATGGAGATTATTTTTTTGTAATGGAGATTATAAATGGATAAATTTCAAAAAAAAGTTAAATATCCCTTTTTTATGCTTATAGGACATATTATGCCTATTTAATGGGAAAAAAAGGTTTTAAAGATTTTTTTTTGTGTGTGCTATCAGTTTTGCCCAGAATACATTCTGTTATTTAAGAAAGGAAACCAGGTTCAATTCAAATGTATTTTAGTTTTACTACACAAATTTTAAAAATAATTTATTTTTGTCTGTTTCCCCTACCTGCTTTTTATGGGGGGGGGATCTGTCTCAATTTTTTTGGATTGTAGTTCACATATTTTCAATCTTTCTTGTTTAATAATACAATCTCAGTGCTATTAATTTTCCTTGGTATCTCCTTGGCCACAGCTCCTGCATTTCATATGCTCTGTTCTTATTGTCATAATTTCAAAAATAGGCTGTACTTGTAATTTTTATTTCTTCTTTGTCTCAAGAGTTATTTAAGAGAGTCAGACATTCTAGTTCTTTAAAAAATTCTTCTGTGATGAATTTCTGGGTGCATTACATGGTGTCTAGAGAATGTGAAATTGCAATCTGCATGATTTCTACTTTTTGGAAAATGGTAAGATTTTCTTTACTAACTAATATATAATCTTGTTACTGTTCCATAGCACTTGAAAAGAATATGTGTTTTCTGAGTATATTTTAGGATGGACATACAGCTATTAAATCAAGCATGTTAATGTGTTACACAAGGGATCTGTATGCCTTTATCCTCGCTGCCCAAGTACACAGGTGTGCCTAATCCACTTGAACTGCCAAGGCTGGAAGGCATTACCTCAATAACTCCCACTACCGCTATAGCCTTGGCAATTGCTTCAAGTATCTGCAACCAAGTTTTACTCTCTCTTTGTTTCATCTGTAGAATTAATGAGCAATCTTTATTCATCTTCAGTTGTGCTCTCTCAATATGTAGGAAGGAAGTATGTTACAAAGCAGATTAAGGCTTTATTTCGCTTAGTTGGGGCCAACTGGCATTGCAGTTCAGGAAATTTAGCTCATTTCTTAATACTAGTTCCATCTTGGTTATCGCTATGATGTTGTGAGTTTTCATTTTTTCCTCCATGCTTTATTTATTTATTGTTTCGATAGGAGTCTATGGAAAATTTCTTTCATGTAGCTCCACTGAATACAGACTCTGTAATCACTGGAAACTGTTCTAAATGATGCGTGTTACTCTTTCTCATCTCAAAAAAATCCAAACCTGCCACATGACTTCTTAAGCAAATGGAGTATGATGAGAACAGACATGTGCCACTGTAAAGTCCCATTCCATAATCTGCTCTTTTTCTTTTCTTTTCCTTTTCCTTTTTTTTTTTTTTTTTTTGGAGGAACCAGGGATTGAGCTCAGGCCCTTGTGCTTGCTAGGGAAGCACTTATTCCACTGAGCCATCTCCCTGGCCCCTCTTTTTCTTTTCTTGGCTCACAGAAAACATGTCATGAAAGGCGTCAGCTCTTTCTGCATCTCACAAATGGTGCCGATAAGTAGCACCATAGGCAAGGCTCGGCGATAGCTGATGAATATTCACATCCACTATGTAGCTGGCCTGCTAAGCATTCGGGTTAGAATCAAGATTCAAACCATGTATGACCCTGTTCTCCAGATACTTAAAGAAAGTTGAAAAAGTCTGCATGAAGTTCTGGGAGCTACCATTTTTATAGAGCTCAATAATACTTGTTAGTTTTCTTAACATACAATTTTTTATTTTTTTTGGTTAGGTCTTTAAAGTTTATTTTGGGGCCAGGGAGATAGCTCAGTGGAATAAACACTTCCCTGGCAAGCGCAAGGGCCTGAGTTCAATTCCAGGTTCCACAAAATAAATAAATAAATAAAATTAAAATTAAAATTTATTTTGTACTTTGTTATTATGAATGACGATTGAGTGTCCCTTACCCAGCATACTGGAGACCAGATGTGTTTAGATTTCAGAATTGGTTTTGGATTTTAAAATATTTAAATAAAACTTAGCAATGTAGCATTCTTCATTGGAAAATCTGAAGTCTGAAATATTTTGAGGGTCATGCCAGTGCTCAAAAAGCTTTAGATTTTAATTTCTAAAAATATTTTATTCACTTATTTGTTTGATATGGGGTCTTGCTATTCAGCTTAGACTCGTAGTGATCCTCCTGTCTCAGCCTCCCTAGTGCTGGGATTACAGGCATACTCTTTCAGTGGCTGGCATGGCATGTGGCACTGGGGATTGGACTTTGGTCTTTGTGCTTGCCAGGCAGGCACTTAGACCGCTGAAATATATCCACAGCCCTGTTTTAGGTCTTAGAGCATTTTAGCTTTTGGAATTTCAGACTAGGGAAGCCCAATCTGTGAAAGTTTACATTATATTATCTAAACACTCATGGTTGGTATATGGGAACTCTCCAGATATTGGCATTTATATATGTTACCTGCATGTTGTATTAAATTCTTACTTCTTAGAATGATGTAGGTATCCATTTTAGGTGAATAATCATATTTGTAATAATAATTTGCTTCTTTTTTTCAAAGACTATAGCTAATTTGTGCTTTACACCTCACTTATCTGGCCAGATTTTCATAAAACTGTTAAGTGATAGTGGTAATGGTGGACTGTTGCCTTTTTCCCAGCTTTATAAGAAACTGATTTTTCTTTGAGTCTTAATATTTATTTATAGTTTTTGCCATATTGATATCATTTGGGTTTGCCTTTTAAAAATTTTATTCTGAATGTGTGTAACACATTCATAAATACCTTTTTAGTGACTATTGAGCTTATTGTATGCTTATCTATGGTATATTTTGTTATTAGACTTCCTAATGTTCAGCATCCCATAGATAACTGTAGCGGATGATCTTTTCATATACAATTTTACCCTCTCAGCTGCTATTTCTCTCAGCATTTTAGAATTTGTGTTTATAATTGGTTTGCTGTGTAGTAGATACTCTGTGGCTACTATCTTTATGAGATTTTGGTATTAAGGTTAGTCATATAACAGTTTAAGTTTTATTTATTTATTATTTTTTACTATTTAGGAACAGTTTATATTGTGTGGAGATTATCTGTTCCATGAAAGCTTGAGCAGACTGGGTAATAAAACTGTCTGGGTGAACATTTCTTCTGGAGGTAATGCTTTAGTAACTTTCTGAACTTATTTGCTGGTTTTATTTTTCAGATATGTATTTAGCCAGTCAACTCTGCCTTGGCTCATTTGAGGTAGGACTCAGTTCAGATTCTAGGCCATGGAAGAGTCTATCTCCTGACTAGACTAGCTCTTTAGCTAAATTTTTGTTTTAGAATAATAGCATTGGCCATGAATAAAAATTTTAAGTTAATTATTTGTTAAATATCTGTAGGATAGAAAGATGATGCTTCACTAGAGTGTACGTCTGGTTTTGTTTCTGCTTATTGATGCATATTTATATACATGCAATAATTTGATTTGATATTTGCTTCCCTTGTAACACCCATCCAGAAATGGGATTGGTCACAGTGGGGCAGACCGGGATCACTCAAAGACTTTTAATCATTGAGACTGGTTTTTATAGATCAAAAACAACCTGGAAGTGGTGAGTAGCAAAACTGGCACAGGGTGGTATATTTTCAACAGTCCCCTTGTTCTAAGTTCAGGGAGCTGGGAAAGGGGTGTTCTGGCTGCCCCAAAAATACTCCTTATGGGCTGGGGAGTTAGGGAAGTGGCATAAGCCCCTGCCTGACAAGCGTCTGCCTTGTGGCAAACGCAAGGTCCTGAGTTTGATCCCTGGTACAAAATAATAACAATAATAATAATGGTAATAATAATAATTATTATTATTGTTATATTATTATTATTGTTATTATTATCATCTTCTGAAGGCTCAAGGCTTATAAAATAGCTATTTTGGCCAAAGCTGTACAATAATAATAATAATAATTATTATTATTATATTCCCTATGCAGGAAGAAATGACTGCCACTGTTACTAATGTTAAATACTTGCGTGTATTTGTTTCCTGGAGCTGCTATAACAAAGTAACACATACTGGATGACTTACAGCAACAGAAATTTATTGTCTTGTACTTCTGGAGGTTAGAAGTGGGAGATCGAGGCATGGGCAGAGTCAGCTCCTTCTGCGAGCTGTGAGGGAGGACTTCCCTCATGCCTCTGCTCCGGCTTCGGGCTAGTGTACTGGCTGACTTCGGCACTCCTTGGCCTGTAGATGCGCAGTTTACCTTCACTAGGCCTTCCCTTTGCATTTCTTCAGCAGCTTACTTCCGTGAATTTCTGGAATCGTGTGAAAAATCTCCCCTTTTTATAAAGCACAGCAATTATACTGGATTGGAGTCCATCCTAACAGCTTTTTCCTGACCTCATTAGCTCTATGAAGGCTTTATTTGCAAATAAAGTCACCTTCCAAGGTACTGTTCTGAAGACAAACACCTTTTGAGGAGACACTATTTAGTTCATAGACTGCTGATAGAAGTTAAGTCAGAATGGCTTTTCCTGTGTGGCTGGGGCTAACGACAACCTTTGTGTCTTGCCACAAACATAAGTGGGTAAGCTACAAACTTTCTTAATCTACCCCATCCTAGTTTGTAGACATTTCTTTCAAGTTCCATTGACAGGTTGTTTCAATCTTCTCAATATTAAGGTTTTGGGAAATAATCAGCTTTAGTGCTTCCACTGACTTCCGTGATATTTTACTGTGATGAAGAGATAGCTTGTCACGAGCCACACTAGCTAGTTTAACCCAAAAGTTGAGTATCTCCTGGCTGTTTTTATGACCTTTATTCCCCCAGCAATGGGGGTTGAATCCACTTAGTTATATATTCCCAGCACTTTTTATTTTTTTATTTCCTGACAGATTCTTGTTAAGTTGCTCAGGCTGGTTTAAAATTCGCAATCCTCTCTACTCAGCCTCCCATGTAGTTCACGTTGCAGGGGCAGTCTACTGTGTTTACATTTCTGCCTTCTACTTCCTCCCTGAGTCAGTGTCAGCAGGATTCCCTTACTTTGGGGTGCTGGGTGTGGTAGAGCATAAATCTATGTGGGGACTGATTCCCAAAGATCGCAAATGACCAGACTTCGTGGAAGATCTTTTGTGGGCTTGGAACTTCTCACACATTTGTGGTGTCATACCAATGGGCTCTGTGTAGCCTCTTTAGGGATCCCCATCTGTCTTTATTGCTCACAACTTTATTATCTTCTGAAGGCTCAAGGCTTATAAAATAGCTATTTTGGCCAAAGCTGTACAATAAAGAATCATATTTGACTCTCACATTTCACCTCTTCTCTTGCTAGTTAAATAATATGACATTTTCAATTTGGAATCTTCAAGTTTAGCTTACATTTTTGGCTTTTACTAATTTTATCAAGGTCTTACTAGGATGCCTGTCAGTTTCCAAAGTGCTTTGATATGATCTCATCTTATTCTCACAACTAGTTGCTTTTTCTGTTCATTTTTCATGGCGATAACTCACAGAAGTTACTTGGAGGCATGGGGGCGACTTGGCCAAAGTTGCCCAGATAGCAGTAGAGCCAGGACTCCAACTCAGGTCTGCTGACTCTCAGCCCCGCTCCTTTCCATGAGGTCATTCTGCTCTCCTGCTACCTCATGGTCCGGCCAAGGCTCGGCGTCCACCCAAGTTCTCAAAATACCACTGCCTCCTCCCCAGAGCTTTTCTAGATTAAGCAGAAGATAATAACGGACAGCTTTCCATTATATTGTTCTGTCTGTCTAGAACAGGGGCTGGCAAATGATTGGCTGCTTGGCCTGCTTTTGCTGGTTTAGGAGAATTTCTACATTTTTAAAGCACAAGTACATTTTGATAGTGAAGTACATGGCCCTCACAAATGTAACTATTTAGTATATGGCCTTTTGGAGAAGAAGTTTGCTAGTCCCTTGTAGAAGAATACACCTCCTGACACCTACTGTCATCTTCACTTGCCATCTGCTGTGATCTGAAATCATAGGATTTCTATGTTGAGACTTAAGCCTTACTGTGATAGCTCTGAGTGGTGGGACCTCTCGGTAAGTGGATGTAGTCATAAGGGCTCTGCTCTGACAAACGGATTACAGCCTTAACAGACTGAGAAGAAGCAGTTGAAGCACATTTGCCCTTATCCTTTCTGTCATGTGAGAACCAAACAATAGGATGCTGTTGTGGGAGCACAGAGCATCTTGCTGAATACTGAACCTGCTGCCTCCTGGTCTTTGACTTGTGATTTTTTTCTTTCACCCTCTCTCAGGCACTAAGGAATAGGAATAAACTATTCCATAAAGTCTATTTAGAAAGTGAGAGAAAACCTTAGGAGCAGATGTTAGTTTTTATCAGATGCCCAGTGAATAGTATATACAATAAATACAAACAAAAATTGAAGGCAAGAGATTCTTGAGGGCCAGCTGGTAAAAGAGTGCATTTTTTCGGCTTACTGCCAACTTCAGTAATTAGCACAGGTGCCAAACATTATTTGTGAACTAATTAAAGAAGCCTCAACTACCCAAGGAAGTTCTTGGTTAGGAAATGGGAATTTAGCTGTGCTGAGATTTGAAGAAGGGGTAAGATTTGAAGAAACAAATGAGTGAAAACTTTACTTTGAATAGGTAGGATAATATAAGAAGATATAACTCTGTACACATTCTTACTTGAACATGTACTATCATTAAAATAAAAATAAATTAGCTATTGGTGTATCCTTTCTTCTTTCTACGTTGCTGGAGCCTTATGCATGCTAAGCACGTTCTCCATCGCTGAGCTTTACCTCCAGCCCAGCATATTCAATTTTGAGCCAGCACAAATGGCAGATCTATGATGGGAGGGACTTGCTTTGCATCATGTGACCCCACTGCTTAGGAAAATACCTGTAGCATAACAGGGTGACCCTCTGTAAACAGAAATAATGGTATAGAGGTCTGTCAAGCAGATTAGGGCCTTAGAGTGGGGGAATCTTCAAGGTTACCTTAATTTCCTAAAAATGTATCCTAACCTTAGGATACATTAAATGTATCCTGACCCCTATCCTAGGCTGAGGGGTCAACAAATTATGGCCAATGAGCCAAATCCACATATTTGCATGTTTTTGTTGTCTAATTGCAGAGGTGAGCAGCCATACCAGAAATGACTTAGGACACTTTGCCTACAAAACTGAAACCATTTGCTATTTGCTCCCTGTACAAAATGTGCCAACCTGTGCCATGGTTGGAGGAGCATGATGTGGATATTTTAACACTTTTATCAGGTTGGTGCTAGATTTCAGTGGATTGGAAGAGTGACAGATAAATTACTGATGTCCTCACAAATTTACTAATGTCCTCAAGTACAACTCCTTTTCTGTTGCAGACTTTGTGCGACTCCTTGTCCTGGCTCAGAATTCTCAGGGTCACCTTCAAAGAGGACTTTGAGCCTCTAGAAATAATGTGAGACATTGCTGGTGTCTAAATAGCTCCCTCACATCTTGCACATTTGCTAACGTGTTAGAAAATGATTTTGCCAGAGATTTTCTAGTTTTCTTTATTGCTTACCACTTCTTTTGAAGGCTCATAGTTTATAAGATGGGATGGTTTTGCATAAGAAAGAATTATTTATATTTTGACTGCCTGTTTTGCTCCCAGTTCTCATTATAGCTGTGTTACTCAGTTTTCTGTTACTGTAGGAGAATACCTGGTACAATCAGCTTAAAAAAAAGGATTTATTTTGGATTACAGATTTGGAGAAGTCAGGCTGTGATCTGTGGGCCTTGTAGTTTTTGGACTAATGGTGAGGCAGCATATTGTGGTGGGAAGAAACTGCTCATTTCGTGGGAGCTAGTAACTAAGTGAGGTAGAGAGACTGGTGTCCCACTGTCTCCGCTGATCACATGCTCCATGCCTGAAAACTTCCCAATAGGCCCCACTTAAAGGTTTTCACCTCCTCTACGTAGTGCCAAACTGAGCACCATGCTGTTAGCACATGGACGTTTGGGAAATGTAGATTCCAGAGCCCCATAATAGCAGCAGCTGAGGAAAATGGCATTTTGAAACTTGAAACTTAATGTTTAGTTTACATTTTCAGCTTTTCCAATTTTATCACTAAACATTCACTAAGGCAGCATCTTAGGCAATGTTCTGATTAACCACTCACTGGTCATTCTTTAATCCTAGAGAGCAGTTCAAAGGAAGAGTTGGTAGAGATTGTAGAGAAAAATGGCTAGGCTTAGTAAAACTGACCTTTTGGGTCCAGGTATATCGTGTTTGTGTAACTTCTCCTGCTCAGCTATACCTGTAAATATGCTTTATTTATCTTCTTATATTATTTTTATTACATAATATTCTCCAGACACACTAATAACTTTTGGGACCCTTATGTTTTCTGTCATTGTTGGGACAAAATATTTGACATGTGGAATTAAGGAAGGAAAGGTTTATTTAGCTTACAATTTGTGTAGGTTTCAGACCATGCTTGGCTGGCTGTAAGGCAAAATGGCACATGGCAGAGGGCAGCAGCGCATGGTGGTAAAAAACAGCAAAAGCAACAGGAGCAAAAGGGAGGAACAGTAGAGAACAAACCTCTTTCCCTCCCTTATATTATACCCAGGCTACCATTGGAACATGAATAAATCAAAAACTCTAGAAGCCTGTCCCATGAGTGTAGGAGGCTTTGGGGAACCTCTAGACACAAACCATAACACTAACATCACTTAAGGTAATTTCAGGGCCTTTGGTGAAAAACAAGTTCATAGAATTCGTAGTCAAATATGTGTGAATTCACCAAGTGAATACCTTACTCTGTAGGTCAGAGTTGCATCTGAGACTACTTATTATCCCATGAAGATGATAAATCATCATTGCATAAAAACTGATTTTTATTGATAACACAGAGAAATTTCATATTTTGAATCTCGTCTTTCCCTCATTTCTACCTTCCTAGAATACTGTGATTAATATGATATTTTCTCCTCCTTTCTCACATTTCTAAAATTGGAACAATTTGATTACTTTTGCTGGACTTTCCTTCAACCTTCAGGAGTTTTGACTTGATCACTCAAGCATGACAGAAACTTGGGCTGCAATCAGGATACAGGTAGTAGCAGAGAGGAAGCTGATCCCATTCTAACTCTAGGATCTTGAGTGAGCAGGAAGTGAGCTGAATTTACTCTTTTGCACAGACCTGAGGATTCTACTGGCAGACACAGGGAGATGACACTAATTCTACTGTGTGTTAGGGCCATATACAGTTGGTAGGCTGATGTGCAGCCAACAATTGGACTGGATTAAAGGAAAAGAAAAAAAAAACCCAACAACAATAAAAACACCTGGAGGCCTGAAAGGAAACTCACTACTCTTCAGCCAAGAAGCATTTAAATCTTGAGTTGAAGCTTAGCAAACGAATATGGCGGGTGCTGGGTAAAACTCTGACACCAACAACTTATTTTTCTTTTAAGCAACTAGTATATTCTATATCCTTGGGACATAGTAGAACATTAGTGGTTGGTGTTGCAGCCAGGGTTTATGAGGTAATAAATTTAACATAGGACACATAATTTACAAAATTATTTTATAATATTTACCCAAAGAGTCAAATGCAGGAGAGTATTGGAGATCTGTCCACACACTAGAGACCTAAAGAATCCAGGTAAGGGCTTGGATCCCATGGCAATGTCCTGCAGGAGTGCAGCTGAAGACCTAGAGCCCCTGGCTTTATCCTCCATGAGTCCAGCTGGAGGACATGAGCACACGGCAATGTCTCATGCAAGTCTGTATCAAGGACCTGAACTTGGAAGACCTAAAGGTCAGTGGTGGAAGCTAGAAAGTCTGCAGAGTGGGATAAAGGATCTGTGATAGCAGGCTGAGGGACCTGCACTGGACCCTGGAGTCAACACTCAAGGTGAAGACAAGAGCTCCCCCACAAAAGAATCACAGCCTCAGCAGCAGCAAGAACCTGAACTCTTCCAGAGATAAGAACACCTGAGTTCCTATCAGGAAAACCAGTGTGGCAAACTTCTCCAGGAGAATCAGGAACTCACCATCTTCCCCTCTATTTCTGCTGTTATGCTGTTGGTAACATTGCTCAGGTGGGCCTTCCATGCCCAGAATCACATTGATTTTGTTCAGGTGGGGGTCAAAGTTGACCATTAATCTACTACACTTGGAAAAGATATTTGTATAAAAAGAAAATCTTTCCAATATGGCGCAACATCTTTGCTATCTTTCTACCATTGCCTTAACATGAACACAAGTAATGCATTCTATTGAGTGAAAGTACACAATAGAAGTGGGTCTGGTGTGCACAGCTCTCTGCAGATGAGCTGCCAGAGTAGTCTCACTTTCCATGTTTTAATGGATCTCATTTTGCACTTGACTCACTCCTTGCCTCCACTTTCTTCTTCAGAGCCTGGAAAAGAAGTCCTATTTTCCTGTTCCTTTTTGGCATGGTTCCTTCTATCCCATCCCTTGTTCCCTCTCACAAATCTCCCACAATAAGTACTAAGGTAAGTTTTATTAACAAATTATGTATGGATTTGATATTCTTCTTTGGACACATGTAATTCAAAACAGAATATATAGGCATAAACAAATACACATAATATATTACAGTGTTAGAATTTCTTTTATTGGTAGTATTGGGGATGGTTTACGGCCTGGTACCCTTTGAAGTTTAATAACTTTAAGATACTTTTAAGACACTATTCTGCATCTTAACTGTTTTCTCTGAATCATTCCTTCTTAATTCCCTGGTTTCTCTTCAGACCATATAAACTTTTTCACTTTTTTTGAATTATGCTTTCTAACTCTAAACCTAACCTAAATTCTAACCCTAACCTTAACCCTACCTTAACCCTCAGTGATGAAATCAACAGAATGAGTCTAATTTATTCTTTAGTGGTTGTGTTTCATGGTGTAGATAATGTGCACACATTAAAGTGTACATACTGTATAGATTCTATGAACATCTGCAGTGTAGAAAATATGCATGCATTCATTTATTGTAGCAACATTTAGAGGAAAAATGGAAAGAGTGTATGCAGGTAAATAGAAAATGAGTACTTTCTATTTTTTCTATTTAGCCGCATGCAGTTTGTTTCCATTTTTCTCAAACACTGCTGCAATAAATTTTTGTGTGCATATTGTTTTATATGATGTTTAATGTAATGATAAATTAAAGTATTTTTCTCCTTGAAGCTGGGTGTCAGGGACAGATGTGAACTCTAATGAAACTCTAAACTCACTTCAGCTAAACTCACTTTAGCTAAACTCATTTTAGCTTGCTTAACGTAAAATAAACTACCAACTGAGGCTCCTAATTCTTACCTCAACTCTTCCTCTCAGTAGGATTGGTACTTTACATTAAGAAACTATGTTAATTTTTCTCATTTGTTCATCCATTTGCCCACTCACTCACCATTCTTTCATCCACCCATGCATCTAGCAATCCACAAATACATTTAAGCATGAGTTGAACATCCCCTATGAAACTAACACTGTTTTAAGAACATACAGTTAGGAAGCAGGCCACATGTACAGGAATAGCTGTTAATAGTAACAGCTGGCAAGATAGTGGATTGAGACACAGAGCGCTGACCAGGACCCTTTTTTTTTTTCTTGTGCTTGCTTCTTATTCATTCTATGCCTATGATCTTCTAAGACTATGAAGATCTCAGCTCACCGTTCTAGACCTCAGTTTCTTCATCTGCAAAATGAGTGGACCTGGCTCAGAACTGAAACATCAGGACGCCAGTAAGCGAAATCTACTTGTCTTAGTTACTCTCCTCTCACTGCTGGGACAAATACCTGATATTCAAGCTTAGAGAAGGAAAGATTTATTTAGCTCACAGTTACTGGAGGTTTCATAGTTTAAAACAGCCTGAATTACAAAGACCTGGAGACACTACTGTCCCGCGCTACAGGGTCTGAAAGAGAGGCTGGGGTGCCGCCTTGTCCAGGATGATCTGCTCCATACTTCTGAGAGGCCACCAGGCCTGGTGGAGGGGTAGAGAAAGGCAGGCTGTCAGTTCAGGTTTGCGCCTCTCTGGCCCCGCCCCTCAAGCCCTGCCTTGGTCCTCTGGCCCTGCCCCTCAAGCCATGTGCTGCTCCTCAATCACTACTGCCCAGTGATTACATGAGGCTTTGGGGGACAACTAGATACAAACCATAACACTACTTCGTGGTCCTTTTGTCTGCCCAGTGAAGGCAGACAAAAATCCAACACTTACATATCAGTATTTTTTAATAGAACTTTGGACTTGGGCATTTTATTAATAAACTATGAGGAGATCTGTTAACACTTGTTTCTATACCAGTTCTACAAATAAAGATTGTCGAAATCTGGGTGGTGCTTGTCTTCTTCAGACAAGAAACTCACTCCCCACATTACCATATTCCTCACCATTCTCTAAAGTCTGCCCAAGGGAGCTGCAGTGGCCAATTAGCACTGTTCTGACCAGCATGATTGATTTTCTCGGGTAGATAGAAAACTGTTTGTATCTATGCTAAAGGTGGAGCACTGAAAAGTTGGAGTGAGAGATTACATGTTTGGAGAAGAATCGAAGCCATTACACAGGGAGAAATAAAGCGAGGGATGCCCCTAGATGTTTCCTACGCAAACGGGAGCTCTCTGTGGAAACTGCACCTGGAGGTCCAAGTGCTGGGTCAGGGCTTCCAGGCTCTTGAGGGAGAGCCCCACCCTCCCCACCCCATGAGCCTTGTCACTGTGTGTTAGACACAGCATGTCAAGCCACACCAGAGGAGAGCGGGTTTAGAGCCAGCTCTGCAGAGGGGGGAAAAAGACAGAAGGACAACAGACCCTGCTATTCAAAGAAACTTCTCTGCCCCTGCACAAACTGTGTTGGAACGCTTACAGTCTCTGATTTCTATATGGTTTGGGAGCATCATTTTAATCAAAAGAAATAAAGGAAACACTGCAAAGTCTTCAAATGCTAAACACAATGAGCTGGCAATGGAAGATGCAGTTAAGTCATTCCAATAAAATGCCAGGCTTGGAATAACAACATCTGTTCCTGCAGGGCAGTGAGCAGAGAATTAAAAACAAGAAAGAAACCTTAGATTTTAATGCAAATGGATTTACTGACTGGAGACTTGAGACTCCTGTCCGGCAGTGCAGAGGCACTGTCAGGAGTGTATCCGTGCCCTGCTGCAGCATGCACAGGGCTAGGCACTGCAGTGAGGGCATTGGAAACAGCCTCAGATGTCTGCAGTTGACAATTTGTGTTCAGAAATACTTTGATGCATTGAAGTGCCATGGTCATTGATGGTAGAGTGTCCAACTCTAAAAGACTCTCTTTATCTTAATAGAGGGGTTCTAATGACCTCTGTAATTAGTGGTCCTATAAGGTTTGCCCCAGGTATGCATGGTGCACGTGGTTCTAAAGCTATTCTTTTCCTCATATGCTTTCAATCAGGCCCATACAAGAGAAATCTTGAATTGGGTCTTAATCATTTACGATTAAGACCACCTGATTTCCCTCAATCGTATGGCAGGCATCTCTGCTTCCAAGAAATCTAAGGTTATAGAAATGATAAATTTGTAAGATTTTGCTACTGACCACTTTCCTAACCTCCATTTCCTAGCCTCATAGCTAACATTGCAACTTCAAACCCCAGGCATATCACCCTTTGGGCTAGACATTGGCTCCTCCCAAAACTTTACCCTCGAGTGCTTTGCCATATCCACAGATTATAAAGCAAGGATTGAACCAACCAAAGATTGAAAATATTAGAAAAGTTGTATCTTTGCTGAACATGTGCATTTTGTCTTGTCATCACTCCCCAAATAATGTAATACAGCAAATGTTTACACAGCATTTACATTGTCTTAGGTATTTCAGGTGATCGAGAGCTGTCTAAACTATAGGGCAGGATATGTACAGGTTGTGTGCAAACGCTATGTCATTTTATATCAAGATTTGAGCAGCTGTGGATTTTGGTATCTGTGGGGAGGGGGGTCTTCAAAGACACTGAGGTATGACTGTATTTCCCTTATAGATGGGCTGCTCTTCTCCTTTTTCTACTAACACTTGGCTATTCTTCCAGGATCACTAAAAGGTCACCTGCCTCCAGTGCACAGTTCATCTGAATTACATAGCTCTCCTCTGTCTCCCCACAGTGCTTGCTGTTTACACCTGTGAGAACACTGAATATACAGCAAGGTAGAAGGTGACTTCTTGCATTCTCTTACTATGGGAGATGCTACTTAGAATGAGTTGAATAAGTGCCATAGTTTCTTCAGCATTTATTGATTTTTTTGCTTTCCAGTATTTGGGGTGTGTGTGTGTATGTGTGTGTGTGTGTGTGCGTGTGTGTGTGTGTGTGTGTGTGTGTGTGTAGATACTGGAGAACCAGGTATCCTTTTGTCCTTTTTGCATTGGGAAGAAGAGGCCTTGTCCCAATCATCATGCTATCATGGGAATCCTGTGGCTGGCTGCAGCCTGCTCTGCAACAAGCAGCTCATTTACCTAGTTAGTCAAGGACCTTTCCTGATTCCATCTGAGAGTCATTAATCTTTCCTTTATTTTTCCTGTGAAAGGAGGCAACTCTAAATCCATTGTAACTCTCAATGTCTGAATTTTGAATCATTCTTCTTCTAATTGTCCCTTACCTTTTGCACCTAGTGCAGAGTTCTCGAAATTTTCATTGTGTACACTGGGAAGATTTCATATCTGCTGTACTGTCACTCAAAATAGCTTATGTTTTTCCAAGTGGTGAGATAAAAAGGCTGTAGTTCAATGGTGGAGCACTTGTCTAGCATGGGTTCAATTGTCAATATCAAGAGAGAAGAGAGGAGAAAAAAAAAGGCAAAGAAAAGAGAAGGGAAAGAATCTAATAGTTTCTGAAATCTAAGTTAAACATACTACAGGTGACTAACACACTTTTTTGAAAAAAATAGCAAAATTATGCATTATATTTAAAAATATTTCTATCATAAATGATTGAGGAAGATAGCTTTTACCAACTTTAAGAATATGTATTTAAATACATTTTTATATGGATTAAATTACTTGTACTTCATCTAATGATAAAGTTTCACTTTGTACCTCAATCAGGTAAATATTGCAAATTAGAAAAATGCAAAGATAAGAAGTAATCGTAGTTAAAGGACAGCTTTTTGTAAACAAACTTCTGAATTTTATGACAAGAGAAAGAATGAAGTCTCACAAGAAAGAAGTTTAACAGGAACTGGCTTCACATTTAAATTCTTCATAAGTTCAAGGTAAATACCTTGTAAATATTTTTATCCTGTACCATTATCTATATAATATGACAAAATGCATTATGTTTTCAAATCTTGTGCCAAGGTTTGGTAGCTTTTGGCATCAACCTAAATTCTATAATTTGACATTCTGTATTTTTTTTAGGAACAAAGTGCATCTGACAAAGCTATTTTCAGCTGCCACATGCTTTCTCCTGGACACCACCATCTCCCACCCTGAGAGGCTTCCTTCACCAGCCTCTTGGAAGAAAAATCTAA